TCATTTATTTACTGTACACTGTATATATATATATGTACATACCCATATCCATCCATCACACCTTGTCAGTGTTAGTTCATGTTTTGGAAGCAAATTCATAAAATAAGTAAAAAAGAAAAAATATCAAGTCCAGTGAAGCTGGGCCGTTGTGTAAAACATAAATAAAAACAGAATAAGATGATTTGCAAATCTTTTTCAACCTATATTCAGTTGAATACACTACGCAGACAGACAACATATTTAATGTTCAAACAAATAAACTTCATTGTTTTTTTTTTTTTCAAATATTCACTCATTTTGAATTTGATGCTGAAAAGCACCTGTTTGGATCATTCCACAGGTGAACAGCTTCTTTAGAAACAGGTGAGTGTCATGAATGGGTATAAAGGGAGCATCCCTGAAAGGCTCAGTCTTTCAACACTAAGGATGGGGGTGAGCTTCACCACTTTGTGAACAACTGTGTGAGCACAGAGTCCAACAGTTTAAGAACGTTTCTCAACAATTGCAAGAAGTTTATGGATTACATTCTTTACAGTCCATAAAATCATCAAATCTCTACAAGTCAGCAGCAAGACTGAAAACCAACACTGAATGTTGGTGACCTTTGACCCCTCAAGCCGCTCTGCATTAAAACCCCACATCATCCTGTAACAGATCTCAACAACACCCAGAAACACTGCCTGAGATGGACTGACACAAAGTGGAGAAGTGTCTGATGAGTCCACATTTCTAATTGTTTTTGGAAATCACAGACGTAGTGTCCTGCAGGACAAAGAGGAAAAGGACTTTCCAAATAGTTATCAATGCAAAGTTCAAAAGCCAGCCTCTCTGATGGTATGGGGGTGTACTGTATTAGTGACCATAGCATGGAACCATTAATGCTGAAAGCTGCATCCAGTTTTGGGGCTACATATGCTGCCATCCAAGATACGTCTTTTTCAGGAACGTTCTGCTGATTTTGGCAAGACAGTGAAGACACATTGAATATGACTGAATATTTGCAAAAAAAAAAAACAATAAGTTTATCTGTTTGAACATTTAATATCTCATCTTTGTGGTGTATTTAATTCAATATAGGTTGAAAAGGATTTGCAAATCATCGTATTCATTTTTTTCTTCTTTTTTATGTTTTACACAACATCCCAACTTCACAGGAATTGGGGTTTTGGTTTAAAAACTGAACTTAAATTTACCTGAATTTATGTTGAAGTAGTTTTAAGAACTGATAAGGTCCAGAAGAGTTTTTATGATGTTCTAATAAAGAAAAGAAGATTTTATGTTTTTTCCATGACTGTAGTTTTGTGTGTGAACCACGTACCAATCCGTCCACGTTGATACTGGTGATGATGGCCCATTGGAACGTCCCCAGGATGAGCATGGCCAGGGCCACGATGATGCCAACCTCTCCTGGTTTGTCCTCTGTAGAGCGTATACACACACACACACACACACACACACACACACACACACACACACACACAC